GCACACCCTACTTTTTCAAAGGCAGGGGTACAACCCATAGCTTCAGTGCTGACCCCACAAAGCAGCCTGCGCATGGCCAGAGCCACCATACAGGGCTGCTCTGGACTCAGACGTCGGCTCAGGGACATCTCAGGATCACTGATGGGCCTCTGGATTGGGGGGCTTGCCGACTTTCAGATTAGGCCAGGTCTGGAGTCACTACCTGAGGCCTGGTGGCTTCCAGTCCTGCAATGAGCTCCTTTGATAAAAAAGAACGTCCCTCTTTGCATCCCCCTCCCACTCACTGTCACCTCAGGGTGGCCCAGAGTTGCCTCACATTCACCAACGTCCTAACACCCATCTCCCAGGCTCATCTCCAGAGGAGCCCACAGCGGAGAATCTGCTGTCACCAGCACTTTGATCTCGAGCCACGACAGGAGGGGAGCCCTTCCTTTTGTTCTCTGCTCTCTGTTCTTTTGTTCCGTTTGGTTTTTCCTTTGAGAGTAAGTGACTGTATCGGAATAAATCCAGTCTTTTCTGGAGGCCCCAGGATCTCTTTCAGACCAAGCAGACTCCCGTGTCATTGTTTTGGGGGATGACTGACAATCAGGCTCAGCTACATAATTAGTGGGTCCCAGGGCAGATGGAAAGTGGGGCTCCTCGTTCAAAACCTATCAAGAATAACAGGACAGTGAGCCAGGGCACTGGACCCAGCCGCTCCCCGAGGCCCCCACACCCACGAGGCTGTGCCCGTGTCTGATCACCAGACAGGAGGACGGAGGGCATGGGGAGCTACCAGGGCACCATCCTGCCCACTGCAGTCTCTGGAGGCCCATGGTTCTCCTGATTCCCAAGGTCTTGGCTTTGCTGACTCTGACAAATATCAGAACCCTAAACCAGGGGCCCAGCGTAGGCTGAGCCATCACAGCCCAAACCGATGGCCAGAAACGCCTCCAACCACCCCTGCATTTTGATTCAATCAAACGCAGAGTCTTGGGCTGAACGCTTCCTCCCCCGCTGGCCTTCTTTAATTTTGCACACGGGTATTTTAATGAAAATACAGTCCTCCCATCTGGGCTTCAGCTTCCCTCCACCAGTCAAAAGGTTTGCCAAGCACCTGGTTCATAAGGAGGCTTTACACTGACAGCAGCCTGGGGTCCTCGGCCAAAGAGACGAGCTCCATCCAGGAGGAACTCGTGGGAACGGGCCTTCCTGTCTCACCGCTTCAGGCCGTGATGAGGGCCAGCCAGTGCCGCTCCCCAAGTTGGAGCCAAGTGCAGACCATGCTTACGCTCTGATGGACACACTTTGAAGCTACCTTTGAAAGCACACCTGGATCCGGATTGGCCTCCCAGCTGGGCTCTGTGCTCAGTCACACGACGACTCCACTGCGCATGCGACATCTGAACTGCACTATCAGAGAGATCTCAACCGTGGCCCCGCTCATGGGCACCCTGGATGGCGGCATGTCATTCCCAAGGGTAGCTTTCTGGAAATAGCCTTTTAAGTCCAGTGGGGAACACCAAGGGCACGAGAAATAAGGTGCGTCTCTGGCCTCAGACACCCTGGGTTCTTGCAGGCATTTAGCAAGGGCCTAGACTCCTAGGGAACGTAGGAAGAAAGTTCCAGATCTGTGCTGGGCCCAGCAGTGGGAACTTGATCACAACAAGTCTGCACATCCCAGGGGCGACTTTGAAGATAACAGCATTGGGATCAGTGATGCATTCTAATGTGCTCGATCTCCTTGCTGCGTAATAATATCTCCTGTGCATCCCATGATAATGAAGATGGGCTTTGGCCTGCAGGCTGTGCCTTTTTAAAACACCTCCTACTGAGAAGCTATAGCTTTCAAATAAGCCACCAGCACAATGGAACTGGAGCAAGAGGACTGGTCTGAGCACATTCACCAGGGGACAGTCCCATGAAGCTCAGACAGGCACATGCAGTGGCCTTCCAAGGAGCCACTTGCTACCAACACTGACGCCATTTCAAGGAGCTGGTGGCTTTCTGTCACAGGCTGTGTTGGCAGGAGAAGTTAAAGCTCTAGAAAAAAAAAAAAAAACAGAGAAGAAAACTAGAACAAAACTTAGACTAGGAGCCTTATTTCTTTTTAGAGCAAGTGATCCTCTCACAACAAATGTGGCGATTTCCAAAGTCCCAGGAGCCTCTGTGTCAGGTCTTGCTTCTCGAGACCAGTGCTGGCACCTTACAAAGCCCAGGGCAGCCATGTCTAGCTCTGACACCGTCCCTCAGGGCTTGGGCATCGGGCAGGTGTGGGCGGACTACTAACCACGGCCAAGGCCCACGCTCCAGCCTGCGTTGCAAGCTAGCCTGAAGGCAGTGTGAAGAGCACGGAACCAAGGCCTGAGTGACCCTTCCTGTCAGGAGATGACATTTGACGTGAGCCACCTTTGCCTGTGACCCCACCCACCTCATCGACACAAAAGCAGTACAGGTCACAGGGGACCCTACGCCCCCCAGACAGCTCTGGAGAGAGGGCCACAGGCAGGGTCAGCACCCCCCTGCACAGCTGCCAGGTGGCCTTGCGGAGAGGGCCAGACTGTGAGTACAGGCAGGGCCCAGGCCAGTGTACTAGTCCACATGACTGGGACAGAAATGAATCACTCAAGTAAAAAGGAATTAGTAGCCAGCAACTGGCTGCGGGCTGCCCCCCATCCCATCTCACAGTCTCACGTGTCCCCTTCCAGCTTCCCATCCAGGCTACTCTAAGCCAGTTCTGGGTAGAGAGGGAAGGCCTGAGAAGCTCACGGTCAGGGGTAGCCTGAGCAGAGCCCCAAGGGGTCACAGCACCCACTGACCCAAGGGGGCTCCATAGAATGCTCCAGGGGCCGCTTCTGAAGGACACGTTCCTTCCCATCACACACGGTCAACGGCATCTGGCAGACGACAGGGAGGCATCTCAGGAAAGGGATCCCTTTCCCAGTTGGCACAAAGGTGCTCATGGGACTTTGGCCACTGAGGACGAGGCAGCGTCTCCCCATAATAGCAGAGAAGCAGCACAGCACCTCAGACAGGGTGGGGCTCGCAGGGGGTGGGGAACACAGTCGTCTCCACGTGAGCCAGGGCAGAGACGTTCCTTAGGAAATCAGTTCAGCCCACAGTAGACGGATCCAAAGCAAAGCTCCAGGCAACTTGCAGGAGAGGAGGTTCACACCCTCACACATAAGACAGAAAGCAGTGTCCACCACGGTCACAGGGACTGAGACCCATCGTCTTCCGACTCCGCCATCCTCAGCATGTGACCTTGTTCAAGTCCTGTGTCCCACCATCACAACCACATTCCTCGCAGAGGGGAGGAGGGAGGCTAAGGGGACCCATCACCCTGCTAAGCCACATCTCCAGAACCCCACCCACCTCCCCTCTCCCTCACCCTCACCATGGCGCCAGCTGCAAGGGCAACTGGGAATGAAGTGGCACCAGTCCCATGGGCCCTCTTGCAGCCCTGGCGCCCGCCCAACGTGTCCCTCCCAGTCCCCTCCAGCCTAAACCTCATCTCCCCGTCCTTGATGCCCAGACTGGCCACAGCCAAATGAGGAGGAGCAGATCTGTAGGCAAAGCACAGCTGGGGACCAGGTCTCCTTTTTTCCATTAGCCAAGCAAAATTTGGGCCTGGGCAATTTAGATGAGACAGAATCAACCAAAAGTAAAACTAAGAAGAGATATTTTACTAATCCAAATGCTTCCATGTGAGCTTAGTTCTTGAAGCAATTACATGCACTCTGCAGGCAGGACCTTAGAGTCTGCTAGAGGGACGCAGGGCTGCCCAGGGTCACACTGGTAGGGTTGGCAGTGAGACCCCCGGGACATCTGGACGTCACAGCCTGTGCCTCATAGTTAAAGTCAAAACTCCATTGCAATAATTAATGAGAACTTATTCCTTCTCCCACGGTGGTATGACCATGGCCATAGCGTCCCATCACATGGAGCCCCCCGCTGGCACCATCAGAACCCCTGTTGAAGATTTAACTTCTCTGTAGAAAAGTCAGGGCCCACGAGGCCAGTTTCCCTCTCCCTCCTGAGGTCAATTGGTATCTCAATGTCTTGCTGTCAATTTGGCGGCTTAAACGTGAAGGGAATGTTTCCGTGAAGTCCGGGTTGGTTCCCACCTCCGGAGCTACTCGGGGAAAACACTGCCTCCCCCAGGGTTTCCACACAGCCTGGGCTTGGCTTTGAACTTCCAGACCCCCCTTTCCTTCTGTAGCCGCCCCCGGCCTCCTTAGCCTGCAGGTGGTAGACCTGGGGAAGGACAGGTTGACAAAGTCCGGCTCCTCCCCAAGGTCCACAGCCAGCAGCCCCTGCCCTCTGGAGTCTGAGTCCTTGTCCTTCCCACCCCACAAAACTGAAGTGACGATGGATTCAACACTCTTGAACTGCGAGCCCCTGCGTGCCAAACCTGCATCCTGAAACCCTCTGTCCACGTGCTCCCTGGGGACTCAGCATGTCAGGGGCAAGAGCCCTCGTCCTTTCCAGGGCCACAGGGCCCATGGCAGGGCCCTCCTTCCCACCTGCTTAACTCTGGGGCTTTCAACCCACTCGTGGTCTCCTTCCTGTGTCCCCACCTGCCCTCCTGGTGTCCTGCTCCTTGTGCTCAGCCCCTGCCCTGCCCAGTTGCCTCTCGGTGGTGGCGCAGGCCGGGCCCTCCCCCTCCAAGCTCTCGCCCCGGTCCTGCCCACCAGGTGCACCCAGGCTCCTGGAGCCACCCACCTCCCCTTCTCCAGTGGCAAAGGCACCTGTCTCACAGTGGCCTCTCCCAGAGAAACTGGGGAGGACGGGGCTCAGGGGCGAGGCTGGCCCACAACAGAGCTGCCTACTCCGTCAGGAAGCCAGCGCTGGTTCTGTGGGTGAGGCAAAGGTGTCTGCGAGGCTCACAGGTGGAAGGGCAAGGGAAGGTCTCCCTGGGGAGGGGTCGAGGCTGCAGAACACCTGGAGGGAGGTGCTACTGGAGGACAGCCAGCCCCTCACACCCATAAGTCAGGCTCCCCCGGAAACAGTCAACAGACTCCATGGATCAGAAGGGATTTATTATGGGAACTGGCCCACACGGTTATGGGGACAGAGATGTCACCAGCTGTAGTCTGCAAGCTGAGACCAGGAAGGCTGGTGATGTGACTCGTGTCAAGCCCCAAGGCCTTTGGGTAAAAGGCCACTGTCACAGCTGAAGCAGAGGGAGCGTTTGCTCCCCCTCTGTCCTTTGTCCTGTTTGGGCCTCCTCAGATGGACGGTGCCTGCCACAGTGGTGAGGCATCTCTTTACTCAGATGCCTCTCCCAAATGTTCTAAGAGGTGACTATAAAGCCACCAAATCCCGGAAGAACTCAGACTCTGCAAGCAGCTGGCTGTCTTTGACCTTACTGAGCCCGCGGTGGCTTTTCTGTCCTCCTTGTGAACTCCTCTGCTGACACTGCAGATCTGAGGTTCACCCTGTGCCCTGGGCGCCACCCCTGCTGCCTGCCATTACCAGGACCACGGCAGAAGGGCGTCCTGAGATGTCCTCAACGAGCACCAGGGGGCGCCCTGAGACACCCTCCATGCACACACTTGGCCATCTCCAAGTTGATGGACACACAGAGGTGAAAGCCCCATAAGGGAGTGCTGGGCAGGCTGACCCACCAGCAGCTTTGTGGCCAGACTTAGGTGGACAGAAAGATTTCCTTCAGGTCATTTCTATTTTATCTCATACTTTCCTGACTTCCCAATCCAAAGATCTACCTTATCTGTATTTCCTAGAGATAAAATCCCAACTGATTTGGAAAATGCTATTGTTTGGATCTGGAAGGTTCTATAACGGCCCATGTGCTAAAGTCTTTTCCCCAGAGAGGCACTGTTGGGAGGAGGTAGAGCCTTTAAGAGGCGGGACCTAGAGAGAGGTCTTCAGGTCATTGGGGGCGTGCCTTTGAAGGGGACTTCCTTTTTTTTGCTTCCCACTGTGAGGTAAATGGTTTTGCTCTGCCTTGAGGTGCCACCGCAGGCCCAAAGCCTCAGGACCAGCCATTCATGGACTAAAGCCTCCAAAACCATAAGCCCAAAATAAACCTTTTTTCTTGATAAGTTGATTGTCTCAGGTTTTGTTACAGTAAGATAAAGCTGACTCTGAAATTATTCTTCTAGGCAGGATGAAGCCCCTGTTTCTCTGAGACTTCAGCTTGTCCATGTGTCCAGCTTGTCCATGTGTCCCTTCCCTGATTTACTTTTCTTCTTCTGATAAATCTTTTTTCTCAGCTCTTAAGCCCCTCACCTGCCTGACATCTTTTATTCCCTTAACAAGAAACACTGTTGGGATCAGTCGGCAGAGGGTGACCACAGCAGGAACTCTGGAGCCCAGCTGCTGGAGGTCACCAGCCCTGCTCCTTGCTCACTGTGTGTCCTGAGACACGTGACTGGACTCCTCTGTGCCTCAGTTTCATAGATGGCAGGGCCTACCTCACAGATGTGTGTGGGAAGAAGTGTGTAAAGTCTGAGAATGTGCCTGGCCTGAGCCAGAACCACGTCAGTGCTGGCTGCTACTGTCAACCACGCCCCTGAATAAACAGGAAGGTCCCAAGGACGAGCCAGATGCTGGCCTCAGGAGCTCATCCTTACCCAAAAGAGACTGACAAGAGAAGAAACAGCCTCATACAAGTCAGTGAAGGGACCTCAGGAGAAGACCATAGTCTCGGGAATCCTGGCACACGCCAAGGAGGAGTGGCATAAGGAGACGGCGGGGACTATTTTCTGTCCATTGCTGTGTCAGATTACTCCGAAGCTTGGAAGCCTCAACAACAATAAAGGTTTGTCTCACAGAGTTAGGACTGCGGGAGGGACTTTGCTGGGTGTTTCTAGACCCAGGTGTCTCTTTGGGTCACAGCAATCCCCTGAAGGCTGGCCGGGCCAGGAGAAGCCCCTCCAGCCTGGCTCTTCCTGGATGTTGGCAGGGGCTCCAGTTCTTCACAGGTGGACCTCTCCACGCGGGCAGCTGGAGTGTCCTCAAGAGATGGCAGCTGCTCCCCTCCCAGCAGATTGTCCGTGAGAAACATGGTCAAAGAGGTAGTGTCTCGTCTGAGTCACTCGTCACACTGTCCTTCAGTGATCTGAGTCACACACATCAGCCTGGAAGACAAGGACCATTGTGCCTTTGGAGGGCACCACAGCGGCAGGATGGACAGCACGGTGCAGTGCCAGGCCTCCCCAGGATTGGAAAGGGAGGCTGGGAGCACAGGGGAGACCCTGGGCCCAGAGGCCTGTTGCCACCCACAGGACATGGGACTGACCCAGGGGGAATTTATACACTGTCTTAAGTAAACTAAGCTATTGCCAAACACGGGGAGCTGACCAAATAGGGGAGCAGGAAGAAGAGGGGCAACAGTCTCCTCTGGAGCCCGAGGTGTCTCCCTCCAGCTGCAGGAGCTGGCACCTCTGTGTGAGAGCAGCCTTCCTGTGCCGTCAGCCGTGAGACCTCTTCACTGTGGCTCTCTGGGTCCCTGCCTTTGGGCTGTGGCCGAGATGGAATCCCTCACCCAGCATACCCCAGGGGGCTCTCCTGCACTGCCTGGCTTCCTTGCACTAAGTCAAGGTCACTGTGATGAGCTCTGACCAGAGAAGCACATTGACAGTGACTCCAGACAGAGGAGCTCCCGAGTGACTCTGCAGCCTCCCTTCCCCACCAAAGAAGCCAAGGAAGCCATTTGTCCTGGAGCACACAGCCTACGTAAAAGGGAGCCCGACTGCCCTGGGCCCAGGCTGCGGGGAGCAGAGTGCCCCCTGTTGGACAGAACGTTGTAGCCAGGGATTGGTCTGCTAAGCTGTTGAGATAAAAAGACCGTGGCTGCAGCCAAACACCATAATGTGTCAGAAGGGATCTTTCATTACCCTAAGAATCTTCTGTGCAAAGTGATCTATTTAAAGCACAGGCCTGATTGTACCGTGTCCCCGCTGGACACTTAGTGCTCCTGAGCCTGGCCCCAGCCCTCCCTAGCACACTTGTGCCATGTCCTCCGCCCTCCCACCCCGTGCCCATCCCTGCCCACCCAGCTCTCTTCCTTCCTCAGAGCCATCTTGGGCACCATCAGCTCTGCCTGGAACTCCTACCCTCCCGCAGCACCCTCTGGGTCTCACATGCCAGGTTCCCGACTGTCATCCACCCCACCATCTGAGGACATCAAGAATCTCCTTGTTGCTGACTTTCAAAGCTCCCTCTGTCCACCTTTGCCATTGAGATTAAATGGTGGTCAATTCTGAATGGCTAAGGGGACGGTTGTTTCTCCACCAGGAGGCGATTCCCAAGAAGAGGCTTGCACTCTGGGTCCTGGCTCCCCGCCTGGCCTGCGAGTAAAGCTGGCCATTTGTGAGTGGAGGGTGCAGATGTCACAAGGCCATTCTCCCCACTGTGCACTGCAGGCGGTTTCCAGGCTCCCCCAGCCCCTGTACCAGGGCCGGGTAGCGCACCCAGCACCACAGGGAGTCTTGGAGCTTGGTTAGAGTCCAGGGGAGGAAAGGAGCCCCTGGCCCCAGGGACAGTCACATCCTACAGAGCCCTGTTTCCAAAAGGGAGCCCACCCTTCTCTGGCTGCCCAGCAGTACCAGCGGTCTCTGGCTGCAATGGAAACAAATGTGGACAGAGTCCTGGGAGATCCCTGGATTCTGGAGCACTCGGGCTCTGAACGAAGGCCCAGGACGCATTTCTCATGGGCATGCTTTATCCTTCCCATCAGGGGCCAGGTTTCCATCCCTGGTGATTCCGGGGAGAGGACCAAGAGGAGGAACGTGCCCGAATCGTAACTGCACAGGGGGCAGACATCTTTCTTCCTATAAAAAGTACCTGAATTATGCATCTTATCAGAGACCATGTGCTGGCTGATTTTAAAATATTACTCCCCAAATATGCATATAGTACGCCAAGAAACCATCGACGGTAAATCACCTCCACTCCAGAGCCAGGACGCAGTTCCTGAACTGTGCAAGTCCCTCACATAAAATTCAAAATGTCTCACAGTTTATCTTGAAACTTTATAAAATTTATTGATCTTTATAGCCATGAAAGGCAAGAGGAAATATATTTTAAGTTCATGTTTTTTATTACTGACCCAAGTGACCATGTGAAATAGCTCAGATTTATCATCGCGTCCAGCTGCCAGCATTTGCAGCGACTTCCAAACATGTCATTTTACCTCAGACTTCTCATGGTCGGGACGCTTGGGGAGTTTACAGGGTCGCTCTGACTTCAGGACCAGAACAAATAAGTGGCTTAAGTAGTTTTGCAGCTGATTGGAAAGTGACTTTGAAATTCATTTGAGGAGTTTGCTAACCGTGGGCCACAGAAACCTAGGGAAGGGTCAGGGGTCCCCAAATTTATGTCTTTCCACATGGGAGAAGAGAAGATTCCTTTGCCAAAGAGCAGTAAGTGTGTATGCTCCTCCACATCTTCCCAGCTCCGTCAGAGAGGTTTAAGAAAACAGTATTCAACTGTTTCTCATTTGCTAGAGAAATAGACATTACTAGTAAATGGAAATGGAAATTGTATTTTTTTTAAATGTTCTTTAATGTGGCTTACCAAAATAGTTGTCACTGTGCATGGAACATCGCCTCTGTTCATTTTAAAACCAGGAGGTGGCTTTTAAAATGCCGTCACTAGTGCCTACAGGCCTCAAACTCTTGTGAGTCGATGTGCAGTCCACGTCAAGCTTGGTCAAGAGTGCAGGGCGTTAGCCAGTTGTGGTGGTGCCCAGCTTTAATCCCAGGGACTCCAGAGGCAGAGGCAGAGGCAGGAGGCTCTCAAGTTCCAGGCCAGGCTTAGCATTTAGTGAGACCCTGCCTCAAAACAAAAACACAAAAAAGACTGGGGCTATAGCTCAGTGGTAAAGCGCCCCTGGGTTTGGTCCCCAGTACCAAGCAAACAGACGGAATGCTGGGGGCCTGGTAGGGTCCCTTTGCCCTTCCCCTCCTTCAGGCCTGTGTGTCCAGCCAGCTCCTGGGATCTGGGCTCCTCTTTTGTGCATCTCTATTCTCTCTCTCCTGTCTCTTGACCCAGTGGACACTACCACCCAGTCCACCTTCTAGAAGGTTCCGGGCATCACCTCCAGGCTGACACCTGATTGCTTCTCACTGCCTGTGTGGTGCCCCTTGGGGGACCTTGTCTCCATCTCTATGTCTCCCACCATCACCCCATCATCCCCAGCAGGGAGCCCAAGACACACAGCTGCCCTCAGACTTGGCTCGTAACATCCTCACAGCCAGAATGTCCCCAGCCTTGCTAAAGCATCCAACCTGCCAAGATCTAGAGGACCCTCAGCCTCCCTGGAGGAGGCAGCCCCTCCCCTGGATTCCCGCAGATCAGCACACGTTCGCAGGCCCCACTTCGCCTGCTCCAGGCTCCGTAGCCCAAGCTGGAGGCTCAGCCTCATGGTGCTTCACATGCTTCTTTAGAATCCCAAAACCTTACACGCTTCTTGTCATCCCGAAGAGCAAGCTGTCTGCTCGATAGAGAGAATGAGGGACACTCCGGGGAGGCCAGAAGAGAAGGGAAGGAAATCATAAAAAAAAGATACTATTTAAAACAAATACACTTGGCCCTCCATCCCAGCTCTGCATCTGCAATTGCAAAGCATTAAAAAAATGCATCTGTACTGAATGTGTTCAGATGTTTTCCTCATCGTTATTCCCAAAACAGCACAGTATAACTGCTATTTACATGTGATTTGCATTTTACTAGGTTTCACAGGTGATCCGGAGAATGTGTGTAGGTTTCATGCAAAGCTACACCATTTTATATAAGAACTGCGGAGAGTTCTGGAACCAATTCCTCGTAGACACCAAGGGCCTCAGCCTCCCAAGCAGCTAGGATTACAGGTGAGCACCACCACACCCCACTCAAGACCTCCCTTTCAATTGGTTTCCTCTGTAAAGACCTTGTCTCCAAATAATGTCTCATTCTAGGGTACTTGGGGCTAAAACTTCAACATAAGGACTTGGGGGCACACAGTTCAACCCTGACACTGTGTGTCGAGCACCAGCCCTGGGGATAAAGAAATCACTAAAATATGGTGCCAGGAATGAAGCCGTTCACCACCCAGGGGGACCATCACCACCCATCCACCTGTTATCCTAGTCACCACAGACATGAGAGCAGTCCAGGTGCAGATGCCTGGGGCCTACAGGACCTGCTCGTGCCTCTGGGGTAGGCGACCTGAGAACCAGACTCCAGAAGCACAGGAGGAAGAAGTGGGTGACCAGGTCCCATTCCGGTGCAGGAGGCGGAAGGAGGCCGGCCACAGGTGAGAGAGCCGCTCCTGCCCCAGAAGGAAGAGTGAAAGTGGACCTGCGCTGGGCTGTCCCCAAAAGGGGAAGCTGTGTGACAGGGTCGCAGGGTGGGACACTCCTAGACAGAAAGAGCAGCCAGGGAGACTTGGGGACAAGTGTCTCCCAGGCGTGTCTCCCTGAACCTTGACTTCGAACCTTGTGGCAGCTTCTTGTCCTCGAGCGGGGACTGAGGGAAGTGGAAGTGGGAACACAGCTGTTTCCACAATGGGGAGCTCAGGTTCCAGGTCAGAGTGTGAAAACTCCTCGATCCGCTAGCAGGTCACTTTAAAGGGTAAGAAAAGATAAGTAAAATAACGTAACTCCGTTTTTTAATGCTGGTTATTTCAAAGGAACCCCAAGAACGTTGAAAAGCAACTTTATTCCTACTAATGTATTTGGGAACTTTCTGGCACATAATGGACCCAATTTTTGAAAAACGCTAACCTGAAATTTAATCAGCATTATATTGAAAGGAAAAAAACTCTTTGTCATCTGCCTCTTCTCTCTTCTTTCCCCTTAAGCAGACAGTGGGTGGCTTGAGATGTTGCCTCTCTATCCCTGAAGATCACTTCCAGGTTATGATGGCTCCTTCATCCCCTAGTCCTGTCCCAGCCGGGGTGACTCAGTCGCGGCACCGATGAACGCACATCCTCACCTTCACCACCTTCACCTCCGAGTGCCAAGCTGAAGCCCCAGGTAAGGCCAGCTCCAGGGGCACGTGCAGCCTCGCAAAGCCAAGTCTCGGGCCCCAGCTGCAGAGAGGATGAGTGGGAAAGAGGGTGTGCAGAGGCTGCAGGGTCCTGAGCAAACCCAGGGCCCCAAAGCTGCCCCACCCACTTCACGCAGCCTCAGGAAGGGACACCTTCAGACCCTGAGGCCAAGCCCCGGTGGGTCAAAACCCTAGGGACCCTGGAGAAGCAGACAGACCAAATATCCAAATCCATGAGCCAGATGGTTTCTTCCCAGGATGGTGGGCACTCCTGAGAGCTTCCTGGGACTCCAAATGGGGGGCTGCGGCCTGGACCCAGGAGTCCTGAGCACAACTCGGGAGCCACAAGAAAAAGAGAGGGTGGCGGCAACTGAAGCACCTGAGTGGCAGGGCCGGCCCAGTCCAGCATGGACACAGCCCCGGGAAAGGCAGGGACCCCGGTGACCGCAGGAACTGAGGAATTAGGTGGTATCAAGGAAAAGCCGAGGTGCAGGTCTTGCCTGCCTGGCGTCCAGGTCCAAGTGCTTGCCTGCCCTGTGGAACTGTGGGTTCTCCTTAGGCGCCCAGGTAGAGGGGTGCCTGGGGTGCAGAGATACAGGTAACCCAGCCTGGCCTCCCCAAAAGAGACAAAGAAACCAGGGCACAGGGAAGCCAGGGTCTGGGACTGGCCACCATCTTCCCGCCTGCTGGGGACTCTGGGTCCTCCTATGCACTGCTACTTCCCGCTCCATCTCAAAAGCTGTGCAGTTTGCAAGACAGTGAGCTGCATGGGGTCCAGGGCTCAGCTCTCGGCACAGATGGGTGTTGACCAGATGGTGACGAAGTCTCCAGGGCAATGCCAGACTTTTAAAACTAAGTGACAGGAACTCACGGAGGACAGGGTGTGACTCCCACCTAGGCCCCGTGCCTTGGGACTTACCCTCCCTCCTGGGAGCTCCAGCCTGGCTTCTTGGCAATAGGCGTATGGGCAACCAGTGTGGAAAAGAGCCCCCCTGGAACTAACTCCAGGCCAGCAGGAGGGGACGCCGGCCTCACAGCCCACTGCTCCCCCAAGCCTCATCCTCCCCCAGCCTCCTCTGGGTGACCCTGAGGAAAAGGCCAAAGAAAGTGCCCCGGCCTCGGCCCCGGCATTCCTGACCTCTGACCCGCCCCAGGGCCCCTGGTTCAGACCTCCCACAGATGGAGGAGGCAAACCCCATTCCTTTTAAACCTCTGCAATTTGGATTTTTGGTTATTTGCAGCCTAAGCAAACTCTAGCTGCTTGGTGGGAAATCTCATTCCTACAGAGGAAAGCCTCGTCTCTAACCAGAGCATGGCCATGCAAGGGGGTGAGACATCGGTGTTTCCTGGTTTCAGAAACTGTCTCCATTATCGCATCTCTAGGGAATGTCGATGACCAGATGGGGCTGGGTCATGAGGGACCCCAAACACACTCAGACCACCCAGGAAGGTCTGGGCCGTGGGTGGGACAGTTGACCAGCACATCACATGAGAAGGTCACACAGAAGGCATCTGGGGCACTGTGTGAGTCCTGCAGGGTCCCAAGACTGACATTCAACACACATCTGAGGGTCGAAGGCAAACCCCATGTGGCACAGGTAGGGCACACCAGTCCGTGAGTGGCCCTTTGGGCTGTGGGTTCTTCTCAGTGGCCTGTGACCTCCAGTTCTGGGCTTTTCCACTTTACTGGGAAACACATCTCCAGGGGACCTCAGCATGGACTCCTCACTCCTGGTCAGTAAGGGCACCCCCAACAGAACCAGGGCTGCAAGTGACACGGTGATAAGACATGGAAAAGCAAGAGGAGCCCCACGCATGAACCCAGGGAGAAGTAGAAGCCAGGCAGAGGCCATGCACTGGGACGGGCTGGTCCTCATCTGGACAAGAGCCAGAGGGCTGTGAGCAGGGCAGGTCCGTGGCAGGAGGGGATGTCCAACAAGAGGAGCAGGCTTTCCAAAGATGCCAGCTCTCTGCTTCCCGCTTGGCCGCAGCCAGATTCTCAGCCAAATAACTTGGGTCACAAATATTCAACACGGGAGGCTATCTAAGCATTAAAAAGCCAACCGAAAACCATCAAGAACTTTGTGAGTTGTCCCTTGGCATTGACAGGATTGGTTCCAAAACCCCCCCACAGATACCAAAACTCAGGAATGCTCGCTCTGGTCCTACACATAAAATGGCGTGGTATTCACACAAAACCAACGCACACCCTCCCTGCGTTCAATGTCTAACTAGCAAGCAGTGACCACCTGTCCGGGCCACGCCACACGCAACACTCACCCCTCACACACGCGGGGCAGAAAGAGACCTACCTCTCCAACACCATGCGCTGGGCTGCAGAGGCTGGGGCTCCAGCTCCCCAGCGCTTCCAGCCTGGAGTAGGGACCAGGCACGCCCAGCGGGTTCAAGCCCCAACTTGGTCCTGCTCCGGCGGCACCTCAGCAGCGCTTCATCTGGGCCCCTGGACAGCAGGGGTGAGTCTGCGCCTGCAGGGGTCCCCCAGGAATTGCGCTGAGCCTGACATCTGGGAGCCAGCCTTTGCCCAAGGTCACCCCCAGTGCAACATAGAGCCAGGGTTTGAAATTAGGTCCTGCCAATTCCAAAATCATACCCTCTGCTCCCTCCACACACCAGCTGCCTCTTCCTAATCTGTCCTAATGGCGCCCCACGAGGCTGCCACGGCATGGACCACAGACAGGCGGCCAAGAAGCTGAATGTGGTCTTTGCCCTTGGGACACAAGAGGTCCATCCAAGAGGCCATGGAAATCAGGGGCTTTCACGGGGAGGCCCAAGGCCTGGAATTGGGGTTCTGAGGGAGATCCAAAGAAAACAGGCATGGGTTAGGAGGAGACGCCGATCCCCAGCATGGCTGGCTGTCGAGGGACACGGACGCAGCTCGCAGGCCAGGCGAGGGGGTGTTTTCCTTGGCAGCCATCAGTCTGCTCTCACGATGGAGGATGCGGAGACGACTCCAGCCTGTGGCAGAGAGGAAAGCCCCTGTGCGACTCCGGGAGAAGTGAGCGCAGGAGAGGACGCAGCCTGCCAGCTCAAGAGCTGGAGTCGCTGCTGGCTGAGGCCCTCTGCACTAGGCAGGTCCCCCACTTGCCCTTTGGCCCCAAAGACAGGTCTGCATGGACCACCTCACCTGGGCTTCCATCACTCTCCTCCAGGTTTCTCTCCACATTCCCCCAGAGAAGAAGCTGAGGAATCCTGCAGGTGCTCTGCGCAGAGCCAAATACCCAGAGGTCTGTACAGGGACATGGATCCCCGCCTCCACAGATCCACCCAAGGTACAGCCACCTCCAGCCCCCGGGCGGGAGACAGGGGAAGAACGGCTTGGAGGCACCTTTGGTCACGCACCTACGGGTGCCCCCAGCCTGGGCGGCAGGCGTGGTGCTTCCCCTCTGCACAGACAGGCGGAGAGTGGGAGTCCAGAGGTGGGGGGACAGGACCCGAAGTAGAGATTCCAGGACTGGAACTCAAGCCCCTGCTCTGGCATCAGTGAGCTTCAAAAATCAAACCCCCAAAGAGGCTATTTCTGAAAACCAGTGACTAGCCAAAGGGCCACAATGAAAAGAACCCACTTACCTCCACGTCTGGTCACCAGATGTCTGAGAGAAAGACAGCAGGGCTTGGCTCAGGCGGAATTAACCCGGGCGTGCAGCTCACGAGAGCGGATGGGGAAACAGGCTGGCAGTCTGTGAGCTGGTTCTTCAATCACTGGAGGCTGGAAATCAGCCATGGCAGGCATTGGTCAATGTTGGAAAAGGAGGCTTTGTTTTGGTGGCTGCTGAGAGCCATTTGGCCAGCACCCCAGGGGATGGATCTTGGAGTGAGTCACCCAGAAGGCACGGCCTGGCTCTCCCTGGGGGAGAGGAGAGAGAAGGCATATTTAAGAAAATAGCCAGGGAGCCCTTGGGTTCAGCCTGGTAGGCGCCTGCCTCTGTCCTCTCCCCTGGAGGCCTGAACGCCTTTCCGCTCTGAAGTCCCTGAGTGAGTCTGCAGTGGGAGAGAATGGCCCAGGGTCCACCTGGACGTGCGTGGGGTGCATGGGGGCACGTGGCCCCTCCTGGGTTCCTGGGGAAGGCCCATGTACCCCGCTGAGCCCCAGCAGGTCTCCAGGTCACTGCTGAAGGGAGGACTGCAGTCTTGGAGAGGCTGAAGATTCCAAGCAGGGCTTACAGAAGCACCCTGCACTGGAAAAGACACGCAATGAAAATAATAATAAAAACTGCCATTTCCACGTCCCTCAGGGCTGGCCAGGAGAGATCAGCGTCTGATGCCAACACAATTGTCACTGGTCTATTAGTAAATATGAATCATAGATTCTTGGGACTAAAAGGGACCCAGGAGACCATCTCCACCAATCACCAACTGAATGCTCAGGTCCTCAAACAACCTGACTAGCCCAGTGGGTGTCCAGCCAACATGCCCTACCCTTCCACAAGAGGAAGCCCATCCTTCAGGAGGCCACCACGGTGCCTGGTCACAGCTCTGTGGCTACTGTACCACAGTTAGGAATATCAGACCGACTGTAACTCTGCACTGAGCCTGGATTTATGCCAAGGACACCTTGGGTGGGACACCCCCCCGTGGGCAGACACCTTCCACCCTCGCAGCTCCTATGCTCAGGCTTGGCAGTGCCTCTGGAGGTTCGCCACCTTCTGTGGATCACAGGTTTCCCCTCCGGCTCATCTTCCTAGCCTCGCTGCTATGGTTTGGATGTGAAGTGTCCCCCAAAAGCTCATGTGTGAGACACTGCAAGAGGTTCAGAGGAAAAATGATTGGGCCATGAGAATCTTGATCCAATCAGTGAATTGTTCCCTGACAGGATTAACTGGGTGGGATGTGGCTGGGGAGGTGGCATTGGGGACGTGCCTTGGGGGTGTACATTTGTATCTGGCCAGTGGAGTCTCTCTGCTTCCTGATCATCATGTGAGTGGCTTCCCTCGGCCACACTCTCCTGCCTTACTGTTCTGCCTCCCCTGGAGCCCGGGGAAAGGAGCCAATGGGCTGAGACCCCTGAAACTGTGACCCCTCAGGTAAATAAACTTCTCTACCGTTGTTCTGGTTGGGTCTTTTAGGCATAGCAGCAGGAAAACTGACAAACACCTGCCTTCGCATGTTTATTAACTATTTCAAAGCTACAAAACAAAGCCCAAAGAACAATTGCCCTCAAAGTTGGCAAAATCCGCCGACCTTCCAGCCACGTCTGTTGCCGCAGCCCACAGGCGCTCCCTCCTCCTTGGGTCAGGGACCCTCCTCCACAGCTCCTGCACCTGCTGGTCCCCCGCCCCATCAAGGCTCCCACACTGCAGCCCCGGTGCTCCTCACCTCTCCACAACACCTTGCCAGCGCCCGTCTGTCCCCTTCATCCTGCACTGCCAGCAGACATCTCCCTCTGGCACCTCTGGGTCTTTCTTTCCTCCTTTCCCACTGCCCTGCAACCAGCCCTTGCATCCTCTCCCTCTGGATAGACACTGAATCCTTAGGTGGGGGCACTTCTTTACCATCTTCAGCACCTCCATGACCCCACACCTATCACAGTAACCTTTTTTACAGGATGACTTGCCTCTCCAGTAACTCAAGGCTGCCAGGTTGGGTGTGCATGAATCGGCTGGCTGTGCTCCTTTAAGAACTGTCAAGGGTAGGTTTCCTGATATAAATCAGTTGGTGTAGAAATAGTAGCTCTGTTCAGCAACATGTTCAGATGCTAATCTCACTGAAGCCCGGGGCAGTAGCACGTCCCCCAGTGTGGATCTCTAAGAAGAAAGTGGGGGTGGGGCAGACATATTCCAGTGACCAGCCAGGAGCAAGTCGGTTGCAAGCTCAGTGCGCTCGGATGCCGTGTTCAGAACACCGCCCCTTCAGGGATGCTTTTATTGTCTTTGGATCCTGATCATGTTTGCAAAATTAATAATACAATAGATTGGGATGTGTTGTGAGTTTGTTAAGAGGAGCAAGTCTCTCATGGAAATGTGATATCAGAAGTTGCACAGAGGGAAAGAGGAAGGAGAGGCACGCCCCCCCCCCCATTCCTTCTACTAAAAACAAAAACCCCTGGACATTATGGATAAAACAAATTCAGATATAAGAAGATTCTGAGGTGCTGATAAGGATGCAGACAAGTCACAAAATGATGAGGAGTTGACTTTTTGCTCCGTATGTCCCAGGTTTGGAGCTCAACAAGCTTACAGGCTGGAAACACCAATGGGCACCAACAAAATCAGCCTCAACAAAAGTCCACCCTCCACAGTCAAAGGGCCAGGAAAAGACAGTCTAGCAAGACAGAACCTTCAGACAATAACCACCCCACTCCAGCCCAACGCCACAGACGACACTGTGGCCCAGTCACCACCCACGCCAGCCTGGATTTCCCCTCCCAGGCTGCAAGAGGGCTCAGCCCCCCTCAGGTGCAGTCAGAGAAGGTGGTGTGGGAGCTGGGACTTCATCCCCACAAGTGGTTTGATGCTCCCCATCCCCTGAATGGCACCATTGCAGACCTGGGGAGCCTGGACCTCCACCCCAATTCACAGTAACACGGCCTCCCCATCTCTGCTCAGGGAGCCTCATAGAAGAGTGGAGTTAAGACTCTCACCACAACCCTGAAGCAAGGAGGCCACTCCCAACCAGCGGTGTCAGTTGAGGCCACACGGGGAGGATAATGAGTCACTATTCACCCTCTCAGCCAGGGAGACAGCAGATGCCAACACTAATATGACAGAGACTGGAATTGTCTGACAAAGATTCTAAAACGGCCACCATAAAAATACTTTAATAAACAATTGCAAACACAGTAGAAACCAATAAAAAACTCCCAACAAAGAGATGCAGCTCAGAATAACAGCCCTCGCTGGGGGTGTGTGAGGTACAGGGTTCGAATCCCAGCATCAGAATGAAAAAAAAAAAAAAAGAGTCTCAGCAAAGAAAGATGATTTTGAAAGAGGATTGGGCCACAATTCTGAAAGACACAATCCAGAATGCCATCGTCCTAGATGCTGAAATCCCAAAACACCAAAATCATACTTTAAAAGAAAAAAAGAAATTTTGGGGAAAAAAAAATTATCCTTTAAAAGACATTTGTTTACATTTTTAAAGGAAATTCAAAAAACATAAAAGCACAACAGAACACATATGGTACTTTACATAATAAAATAAATAACATGTTTTTGTAAGACTAAGCACTCAGGTATACTAATGCCAGTTACAGGTGTAACAGTTGAGAGCAATGGATCATATTCATAAGGAAACAGGCCAAACAGCAGAGGGTAGAAACATATGTCACTCCTGTTGGCAACTGTGGGCACCAGCTTGACGACTGGGGTTATCTGGAAGCTGGAGACCCTGGGACACCTCAGGTCAAGTCCCAAAGCCTGAACCACGGATGTTATGGTGCAACTCTCAGAGGCCAAAAGCCTGAGTACTCAGGGACCATAGGTGTAAGTCCTAGAGTCCAAAGACCAGTGACCTGGAGTTCTGATGTCTATGCAGTAGAAGAAAATGGGCCCAGCTCTCAGAGAGACCAACTCCCCTTCTGTGTTCTTCCCTCTGGGGTCCTGAGCCATTGGGTGGTTCCTGCCCACCTGGAGGGTACATCTTCCCCACCTAGTCCCCTCAAACTCACATGCTTATTTACTCTAGAAACAGCCAAGGTAATACTTCAAAGAGTTTCTAGAGATTTGTTCTGCTTAGCACGATGCAATTATCCTGAGTACAGCTGAAAACACTCAACTTCCTAATCCTCTAGCACAACTAGAAAATAAACAAGAAGGTAGAAGAACTGAACACCATCAACCAACAGCATCTGCTTAGCGTTCATAGTACTCTCCACTCAACTGCCCACACACCTGCCCCAGGACAGACCACATCCCGAGCCATGAAACAACTGCACCAAACCCAAAAGGATCGAAGTCACAGAGAGCAGCCTCCAGCTCAAATGGAATCAAACTAGAAACCCATGATGAAAATCTCAAAATGCTTGGAAACTAAAGAACACACTTCTAATAAGTCAAAGAGGAAGTCACAAGGGATTTTTGAAAAATACATCCAACTGAATGAAAATGGAAATACAACATATCAACAGCTGGGAAATGAAGTCAAAGCAGTTTACTGAGGGAAAATGGTAGCAATAAATGCATCGATAGAAGAAAGAAAAATCTCAAATCAATCTAAGCTTCTATCTCAAGAGCCTGGGAGAAAAAGAGCAAAATATACACAAAACAAATAAATGAAATTAAAACAAAAAAGCAAAAGAGAAAATTAATGAAACAAAGGGAAGATTCTCTAAAATATCAGTAAAACTGACAAACTTCTAGAAATTCTGATAAGGAAAAAAATATATAAGACACAAATCTCTAGGATCCAGAATAAAATAAGGGTCATCACTATAGATTGCATTGATATTAAAAGGCCCAAAGATTAAAACCAACAACCCCTATAGACATTTAGCAACTCAGATAACACAGAGCAACTGCTTAGGAAACTGAATGCATAATTTAAAAGCTCCCTTTCTCCCCTGAAAGAAAGAAATCTCCAAGCCCAGATGGTTCACTGGAGAGAAAACTTATTAAAGGAAGTTTTCATAGGAATTTTACATAAAGTTCATCCAGAAAATAGAAAGGAACACTTCTACTTATGAAGCTAGCATTACCCCAACACCAAACCCAGACAAATGCAGTATTAAAAGCACTACAAACCAATATTAATCACAAATATAAATGCAAAAGTCCTTAACAAAACTTTTGCAAATAGAATTCATCAATATGTAAAAGGAATCAAACACCATGACTCTGTAGGATTCACTCCAAGAATTCAGGCTTGTTAAATATTTTTTAATTTATCAACATAGGTCTACCTTGTCC